CTTTAATATTGCTGTATTACTACAGATGATAACAACCAAAACAACTACACTTGTTTTCCTTTGAAACAAAACTGTTCTAAAATAAGCCAGACATATATATATATTTACAAATAGTGATGATTTGTTCACTCTAATCTACTCCAAGGGATTTATTAACCAGAACTGGGGTTACCCTCCCCTTCTAGGATGGGTCATAATGAGTACTGCAGGCACAAGATCCAATCTACCTCACCGCCTCCTGGCTGAGTGCTGAGAACGGGAAATGGCATGTCCTCACTGCCACTTCAGTCCCCTAGGAACTGCTGAATTCCCACAGCAAGAACCTCCAAAGGATATAAACAGGGAAAGAAGCAAATGCATGTGACACACAATGAAGAATGAAGTTTTGGAAAATAGTAATTCTGCTAATTGGAGTTGCCACAAGCAGTGATTCTAAAGAGTAATAAATCCTGTTCACGTTTGTGTATGGTGGTGGGTACCACAGACAGTACGACCAATCTGTCACCTGCAGCATTAGCCTGGGATGCTTCTCAGGTGTCTTATACCTGGTACAAATGGAACGGGGAGCTGCTCAGATATAAAGAGGAAAATGTTTCTCAAGGTCCATAGTGGCAGATTTAGCTTTAACAGACAGCTATACAGGTGGCCCTGTATTCCATAGCCCTCTCGATCTCACAAAAAGCTAGTGCAGATAGTGCAGTGAAACACCTGGTCCCATTCTCACAATTTATTAAGGCTATGAAGCGTTGCCTAAATCCTGAAAGTCTGAGGCTTGAAAGGGGGAAACTAATCCAACTAACCAAACACAGAAAGGCTGATGCCTCCCTCAAGGTGGAACTGAGCATCCATCTGACAATTTCAAATGGATTCTCTCTGGGCACACTCGATGGAGGTGATCCCCTGACAACAGCCTGAAACTCTCCCACCATATAGATGTTAACTACAGCCAAGACAACCTTTCAACACAACCTTATAATGATGTCACTAGGGTTGGAAAATGAGATTTCTGAAATTCACATCTCAAGAGACAGGTGAGATCTTTAAGGGCAAATGACTAGCTGAGGGTAGTGTTGCAAGGCGAGGGGGATGAGAGAAGAGAAACAGCAATAGGCACAAATCACAGCTAGGCAGGGCCTCAGCCAAAGGAAAAACCCAGGCTGGTATTCCTGACATGTTCTTGGAGCTAAAACAAAGATCGAGAATTGAGTGAGAGGAACAAGCACATGGTTTGAGAAACCAGTCAATTTTATCGTGTAATCTGAACTACACAGAGCCATTCTTGCTATTAATCATTACCTCTCTCACAGGAGGGAAGCAAGAATGCACTACTGAGAACAGCAATCTACCTTTGCTGCTGCAAAGCAAAAGACAGAAAGTCTGAAGTGCCAGCGTCCAGGATTCTGTGCTACCACTTCAGGGAGAGAGAGAAGGAACCCAGTGACAGGCAAAGAAGATTCCAATGTCAAAGACTTCTGTTAAGGAACAGAGCTCTTCATAAGGATGAATGCTTCTCTCTACCCAATCCCGACAGTAACTGCTGTTCCACCAACAATCCTGTATCAGTCCATTTGACCACAACGCCAGAAGGAACAGGGGAAAGGAGATGACAAAAGGATGGAAACTGATAAAGAACATAGCTCAGCCTGTAACTGCCTAACTGCTAGGTGGCAGCAGAATGCAGAACATCCTTGAGCATTAGGCAGCATCTCTCCCAGGAGGCTACACAAGGAATATGGCATTTTTCCAAAGTGCTTTCAGGAGCCGCACTCATCATCCTCCAAGAGAAGAATGTGGTTCTCTTACACACCCGAGGAACAGCTCTAGATGGGACAGGCAGAAACTTCCCTATTTCCAAGCCTCACCTACAAGGAAAGTCAGATCAGAGTAAGACCAGAAGTGCAAACATCCCTGGAACAGCTGAATGAAGAACACTATGATGGGTAGATGTGAGAGGGACATAATACTGGTGCTATGTGGAAAAAAAAGGGAGTGTTCAATAGCTTTGGAAATATGCTGTAGATTCTAAGCAGAGGATAGTCACCGGGACCTTGGCCTTGCTTCCATGTGGCAGTTAAACTTTTTCTCAACAGTCTAAACCACCAGCAGCAGCATTCCAACTGAGGTGAACTCGGGGAGGTTAATGTACTGTCATCTCTGGCCAGAATCAATCATGGGCACTGAAAGGGAGAAACAGATGGCCTGATGTTTCCTACAACAAAGCTGACATGGTGCCCAAGTTCCACACCAAATGGGGTAACAGCATTTCAGAAGTTTGAATTAGTATGGGGAGCAGAGGTGCTTCAGTGTGCACACTCCAAAGCCAAGAAGTGGAGCAAAAATGTGGTTTTGTGCCTTTCTCTTGAAGAGAAAGGCTTGGAGTGCTTATTTGCTCCAGAGTTGGAAGGTCTAATCAGGCCAAGACTACAACTGCCACATCTGCAAGGAATCCAGCTGCACAACTATTGGGACACAAAAAATGCTTTCTTTAGGAGAATTTTCTGAAGCTACAGCTCCTGGTCCTTCAAACCCAAGGCCAGGAAGCTTCGACAGAGCATCAGCCCCCACCCAAGCAACTGAGTAACAGCAGGGTTACTGGCACATACCCACACAAGTAGCATATGAAAGAGGGATATAACTTGCAGAGTGGTTTCTCATAATAGGACTTGTAAATGGAATTGCATCCAAACCCAGAAAATCACAGGAAGTCATTAAGTATGTATTCAAAGAATATCACCATGCGCCCAAGGGAAAAAAAAGTGTCAAAGGAAACTGATCACAGGGTGGGGGATTTTTTAATCAGACTGTTGAAAGGAGCTCAAGTGCCACAGTGCACACACTGCTGCAGGCATTAAGAATGAGGGAGGCAGGTGACATACTAAAGATGCTGAAGAAGCAAAGCATTCTTTGATCTGGAGATGATAAACCATCCGGTCAACAAGTACCAGAAATTGCAGGTTACTGCACTAGTTAATTTCTTAATTTCTCAATGTTTACGAGAAAGAAGGAGCCCAAACACGACTGTTTAGAGAAGCACATTCACTGGCAATGTGTTGGCACAATACTGACAAGAACTGACAAAAAACAGCATCAATGGTGACAGACCACTATGCCTCAGCACTTTAATGGGACAGAAGGAGGAAGAGGGGAAGCTCTCTCCCACTGAAACAACCACTCTGATACAAAACCCTGATCAGAAAGCAGACACTCGCCTACTTCCCAGCCCTGTGTTCCTAAGACACATGCCACGGTCAACTTAAAGGGAAACCAGAAAATTATACACCAGGCCAATCTCCTATAAGAGTGTTAAATAGCAAGGATATCATCTCTTGCTTTTTTACTGAAGCTTAAAACTCGCTATTGAAGCAAGAGGGAGAGGAGACTCAGCCTTCCCTCAGCACAGAGAAGCATAGGTCTTCCTCAAGCAGGCAAACAGGGGTCACTTGGCCCCAGCGACATGTTAGAACCCACAACGCTGGGTAACTAATGAACACTTACATAACTAGAGTGAAGACAAAGAACTTGAGCTTTAACGTGAATTGAAATTAATAAGGCCAGACCCTCGGCTCATATGAATGTATCCTCAGATTTTAGCATGAAGTGACTTCCAAATGCCTTGTCTTTATCAGCTGGGTTTGTTTCTTTAACTCTAAGCTAGCTTACACAGGACAGCCAGGCTGAAGTAAAAAGTATGCTTGTAATTCACTAAGAAAGCAAAATTATTTTTAGCAATGATGAAAAAAACACAATCAAGAAATCTCCCAGATATTTCTTTAGTACCAATAAGCACATAAATCCCAGATGGAATTCTGATATAAAAGAAGCTTATCTTACATATCTTGGATATTACAAATGAATCTTATTTTCTTTCGTTTAATGTATTCTTCTTTTAGGAACAGAAGACAAAGTTAATTTCTTTTCAAACCAAGAAAATAGAAAAATCATTGACCAAAATTTTTTTCTGCAGAAGGAATTCTGAAAAATTGTTTTAAAAAATAATAAAATATGTTTAAATAGTCCATTTAGAATAAAATTTGATTTCTCCATCAGGTGTAATAATTTATTTGTTACTTTCTAATCTTTATTAGTTTTGCACCTCTATATCATAATATACACATTTTTCTTCTGAAAAGGAAGCAGGAGAATTAAAGAAGTGAAAACCTCCAGTAGCAACTTTCTCTAACAAAATCCTAACAAAACCAGCCTCCCTAGTTTTCAAGATATTCTAAATCACTTGGATAGTGTGGTCTCCAGTCTCTTGCCTCCCCTGTTTTGCAATTTCAGTGTGTAACTGTCAAAATTTCTGTAATTTCACTTGTTAGCACCACTGATAAGTTCAGTAATACTCCTCAGGAAGAAAAAAAAAAACTGTACAAAAATAGATTGACAGTAGACTGAAAGATACACTTCAAACATACAAAGATGTGTTGACGGTAATACAAAACATCCTCTAGAAGACAGTCTAAGTATGTATTATTTAAAGTACAAAACTATCTAAGCTCCTGTTTTCATCTCTCCACTAAGGCTTGACAGAAAATAGGATTACCTCTTTATCCACAGTAGAAATCTGCAACATTTTATAATTAAGGGTATTCTTTCTTATTGCAAGGGGACACGGTCCCTGTTCTTTGATACATTTGATAAAAGATGTCAAATATGGTTCCAAAAATAAGGAAATCCGTATCTATGCACTTACAGTACAGGTGCTTTGCACCTAAGAAAACACAGAGCCCTTTATCTACATATGCCAACATCTATTTCTTCATTAGTGACTTCCACAAGCAAAACAAAAGCAACTATACCGACGCCTAAAATTCCAAGTGAAGATTAGGCATAATAATGAAGATCATGAAAATAACTGCAATTTTCAGTCAACAGTATTTTATTAAATTTGTTATTTATCAACCCTATCAATAACATTTGTGTAATGATGTAAAATACAGGAGAGTATTTAATAAAATGCAACATAAAGACACAGGATAAAGTATCAGTATGCACATTACCTTAGCGTTCTCAAGTAGAACTTCATCTCTACCTAAGCCAGGTCCTATGACAACTGAGTGCAGTCGTGGTAACCACTTTTCCACCTCATGGACAGCATTGGGACTATCACTAAAATGGAAATGTGACAAAAAGACAAGTTTAAAAAGGCTTCATTTTAGTAGTCTCAGAAATTGAGTTCAAGATGCAAGACAGAAAGAGGTATTTCCTATCCTGAATGTCAGGCAATTTTATCCTCCAAACTACCAAAAATTTATGACCCAGGAAATACGGAATGGTTGCCAAACATTTCTCTCAATTCATTCCTTAGGGAATATCACATAAAAATGAGGAGGTAATTGCAAGTGCCCACTACAGTTGTTTACAAAGTAAAAAAATTAAACCCAAGCAGGAAACCAACAATTTTTGGTCTGTCACAATTCCTACCTAATGCTTCTTTGCAGAGATTATACCTTGGAGAGAGATCCACCATCTCACAGGTATATACTGCGGCTTGCTGGAATTATTTATTTCCCTACATGGCAAAATGATAAATCTACTCATATGCTTTTTTGTCAGTTGCTTCATAAGCATTTGTTCCAACTGAATTACAGCCAAATTGTCCTGTTTCCCCAAAAGGCAACTGGAGAAACAAGCTATTCAGTACGGGTATTATCTGCTTGTACTGCTTAAGATTTCTGCAGCATTCAGGTTTTTGTCTACATTTAAAAAATGATGAGAAAATCTGCTGCCAAATATAGCTGCCACAATACAGCATTCAGCCACTGACCAGAACTGTTTATTCTGTTCTGATCAGTTTTGTTGTGTAAATAGGCCAGAACATTTTGAAAGCACTGCCCACCAGTTGTAGTTAATCCTTACTGACAGTATGGAGGGAAAATTTAGCCTCCCTCCCTCCCCACCTCTGACACTAGTGACAACAATAAACGAGCATTTTAACTGAAGCACGGGGAATAAAGCTCCCTGTAGGCTGAGCAAGGAGGTACTGCTTCACAGTATTGCTCAGAATATTTTAAGCTTGCAATACTTCAACAAAGCTGTATTATTACGGATGAAAGCCACTGCATGTTTTTCATAACCAACAGCTGTACCGATGGGACACACCACTTGGGAACAAGTGTTTAGCTTGCATCTGGCAGAATCAGCACATTCCACAATGATTTCTGCAAGTGCCAGGCAGGAGCCCAAAGCCTTGGCAGCTGCAGGGAGCGAGGCAGAGCGCTCAAGGCCACAGGGATGCAGTGCCTCCCGCCTGGCCGCAGCCCAGCAGCCCCTCCACAGACAAAGCTGCTCCAGAAATCCCGGCTGTGCCAGCCAGGGCTCCCCAAAGGCGCCCTGTGCTGACACCACAAAACAGCTCTGTCAAAACAAGGCTGCTGCGTAGAAGCAATGACCCGCTGCAAGGTCAAGGGAGACAACGAACCACGTGAGGACAGCGGTGTCCCTGAAGCAGTCCCCTGGCTTAGCAGCTCAATTTCCATTTGAACGATGCAGCTCACTCCCTTCTCTAACTCAAAAGGAAACAGTAGCAGCTTGAGAACTGCCAAAGAGCTCACTTTTTATTTTTTATTTGACTCCGTACAATCATCTCTAAGTTTATGATGAAGGTACAGGCTGGACATAAAAATTCTTCAAGAAATATTTAAAGCACTATTAAAAAACAACAACAAAACAGCTCTTCAATATGTGATAGGTTGAACATATGGAAAATTGCCTGTAAACCAAACTCTAATAAAACATCCCCATTTCTGAATGCAGGTCACTTTTTTTTATTCACACGCTGAACTTACTTTATCTTTGAAGAGCAACATATATCTCAAATATATATATTTCTCAAATAAATGTATCTATGTATCACATAGTTATGAAATTCCATATATATATACACATATATGAGGACGTGCGAATGGATTGGATTCAAAATACCTTTGGACAGTAGATGCCAAATACATTTAAAAAAATACTTCAGTAAACATAAGCTAAGAACAGAGCTATAGGTAGTTTCATAAATGTTCTGCTCTTCTACCAATATCTTGTGCAAATAATTTAAAGGTAGAAAGTTTGCCACTTTATTTATATTCAGGATTGAAATAAAATAATTTTGTCTACAACCCAATTGACAATGTGCACTTTTCAAAACAAAGCCAGCTCTCGGGAAATGAACAGTCCAACATTAAGCCACTCCTGCTCACTTTGCCTCTGGTAATAATAAAAACCTACTGTGGAGCTTTTCATCTTCAAAGCATTTTGCAAACATTACATTCAACTCCTTCGCAACTTCACATCAAGAAGCAACCCAAGACGTGAAGGGTCAAGAGATTAAAAATGGTGATAATGACTACTACACTGCAAAATCAGCTATAAAAATATGCTGTAAAGTAACTGATGGATTTTGACTCTTCATAAAGAAAGCAGAACAAATACTGCCTCGCAGAAGCATCATACCAACTTCACTTCAAGACACTGGATGTCCACAACAGCTGTGGCTATGCAGCTACTTATGCCTTATGAACACCCTGTATCTATTCTGAAAGGGGAAGGGTTGTTGTGTTATCTTACAGACATCAAATATTAGCATTTTAAAGCTGACAGGGTACAAATGATCAACAGGTAACTTTCTTCGGGAAGGGGCATCACCTTGAATGTCCCTGACCACAGGATTCAGCATAAATACAGAAAGTCTTCCAGCTCTTAACAGCTACAGTCTATACACGACTTAATATGCCCAGAAGAGCTCTTAGACACTGAGAACAGCTGGCCTGTACACCCTCAGGTTTCAGAGCAGGCAAAGCTCAACCTACCTGTTGGACACAGTTCCTGGACCACAGTAATCCCTCATCAGGGGAAAAAGTGGTTGGGAAAGGCTAGATGGCATAGTCCAAAATTCTTGCAAAGGATTATTTGGATAATTTGCCTGTGCAGATAATCATGCTTTGAGGTAGTGAGGGATAAATTCTCCTTGGCAGTGTTTAGTTTATTACTACAGAAAAAAAACCTTGCTTTTTCCTGTTTGCCTTTGTATCAAAACCAGACAAAAACCTCTAAAGACTCTGGAGGCACCAGCACAAAACACCATCAGGTCCTCAGCTGTTCCCTGTATACTACACTAACACAAAGAACACTGTTAATGTCCTTTGTCACTTCATGCCAATTTCTCTGCTTGATTATTAACCTGATCTCAAACCTCATCATTTAATTAGCACCTCCACTGCCCAAGACTTTGAAAAAACATTTGAAATTAGCACTGTGTTTAAAAAAACCCAACACCTAGCTAGAAAGGTATGAGGTATGAAGAAGACTACTCCTTGTTCAAAAGAGATGCAATCTTCAGGGTTTGACAGAATTGGATCAAGTAAGCAAGAATCAGTATTGCCTTTAGAAGTGCAGAGCCACATGATATGCAACTTGATTTTTTTCCAAAAGAGAAATGCAATACCCTCACTCTAAAGGAAAAAGCTAATATTATCATAAAGAGGACTCAGAAAATCTCTTTAAAGGCCAGGAGGCAACAGCATTTGAGTTTCTGTAAAGAAGGTAAAAACCACTGAGAGAGACTTCAATTAACTAAAAGTCTGATATTTTCCAAAATGAAGAAAGTTTTTTTTTTTTTTTTTGGAAAGTGAGCGGGCAAAAGTTTGGGAAATTCCCATAATTTAAAATACAAATTCTGCATCATGGACATATACAACAGGAATAATTTGGGAAACTGAATCCAAACAAGAGACTGAACTATCGTACCATTGTGAAGATGTGTGCAATTAAAGATTTCTAGTGACAAACCATAGCAGGGAACAAACAGATCTTCAAACATGTACTTAACTTTCAGCTAATCCCTATGTGTTATGTGACATGCTATCAGACGCCATTCTGATGAAAATCCAGATTATGACAGCTCACTGTTGCTAAATCAAGCAAACAGCCAACACCCTTCCAAAGCCCCAAAAGCTTCCTCAAAATCTTAGCTTGTCTGCAAAGCAACCAATAAAGCTCTGACTGCATACAGAAAAGAACTATCACAGGATAAACACAACTAACAAATGCAAGATAACAGAATAATTAATAAGGAAAACTGAAGGAGCTTCTGTAACTCGTGTCACATCTGTGAAGCTGAGTAGGTAAGAAGTCTAAAGCTAACGTCAACAATCATTGAATCAACTTCATGCATTGTCCATTAGCCAGACCTAAACAAACAAGCAACGTACAGAGGGTGTCACAGGGGGCACATGATGAAAAAGGACCCCACAGATAGGGTCTGATCAGCTTTCCCTGTTAATGAGAGGTGAGGGGAGAGAGAGACAAAGTTTTGCTCAAGGAGGCTGAGAACTCTGTGATCTCTTGGGAAGACAGACACAACAGCTTTATCATTTGCTGTCCCTGAAGTTGCTGTGTGGACAGAACCAAGGCATGGTGTTCAGCATCTCCTGTGCTTTTCTTTTTGCTCTTTTCTCTGCTTCCAGAATGTATCAAGAAAAGTACTTTCCATGGCAAAATAGACAAAGATTCTACAAATTAAACAGCACTGAGTCTCTAAAATTGTGAGGATAAATTTTCTCAGCAAATTATTAGTAGCTTTAGATAACTTTTGCCACATCAACCTCATGAAGTTCATTATGTGCAGTGTGCTGCACCTGGGTCAGGGCAATCCTAGATATCAGTACAGACGGGGAGAAGTCATTGAGAGCAGCCCTGAGGTGATGAGCTAGTACGGAAAGAAAAACTTCAGGTTAAACTTTTTGCTCTTCAGGACTCTTCTGTATTTCACTATCACACAATAAAAATTGCCATAAAACACAGTTCTGTAGATCTTCATCTTGGAGAAAGCTTGATGCAGTACCTTTTCCAAAAATGACACCACCACCACCACCACCACAAAAAAAAAACCCCAACCGGAAAAAAAAAGATGGTGGCTACTGCCCTAATATCACTCACAGGTTCTAAACACCTTCTAGAATAGTTTGTAATAGTTATTTACCAGGTACCATCTGCCTGAATGTCTGCTCTAGGCTGGTCACTGCCTAGAGTGGGAGGACACTTGGCTAAGGCCTCAAATACCACTCCCATCCCCATCCCTCCAAAAAACCAAAAATTTTGTTCTACATTGCTTTTTATTC